GCATTACGACGTGAGTTCGAACCCCGTTAGCTCCTAGTTTAACATTTAATCTGACCAAATCAATCATTTGATAAAAAAAAACATCTTATAGATTGAAGTTGTTTATCAATAAAAAAAATAGGAAAACTAATTAAAATGGTTTTAAAATTTTGAGTTTTAACGATAAGAACAAAATAAAGGGTAAAGTGAATAGTACCATAATTGACTTTTTTGTGTAAAAATGTGGTTTTTCATTAAAATGAACAGTACCGAAAGCTTTTCATTAAAATTCCCTAAAAAAAATCCTAATGGTCCGAAACCAATAATAGAAAAAGATCCCTTCGAGTAGAAGCAGGAATGGTATGGTCCCAAACATAAGTAAGTTTCATTAGAGAATGGCCAATATTAGTGATAAGAGTCGACCACAAAATTCACTTCCTTAAACAACATGCTTCTAATAAAAAATATTGTCAAACAAGTCTACGGTTCATTTGGAAATACTTTTAAAAGAGTTGAAAACGCTTTTAGTGAAAATATTTTTGGTACAATCCTTGGCAAAAATGTAAGTGAATTTTGAAAAGAACTTCAATTGCTTTTAGAACTCAAAAATATTTTCTTTAAAAGTGTTTTTAGTCAAGTGATAATGGATTATGATTAAGATAGTGTCCAAGTGTTGGATTTCATTCAATGTAAAAAAATTGGGACATACCTAAGTAAAATCACCTAGGAAAAACTCCGGTGAAGAAAAAATACGCTGCTCATGCCACAATACAACCTACATTATTGTCATCAATTGCATAATCATGAAAGGTAAAATTTACATATAACGTGAGATCCATAAATACTCTTATAGACAGACACTTTGTAGACTCACTCTACATTTACTTTAATGATTCGAACTATTTATTTCTAAGTTAATATTCATAATCATTCTTATGTGTATATTTTACAAATCTAATTATGTAGTTTAATTATGCTTTATATATTAAAAAAAGAGTAATTTGATTAACCAGTTATAGATTCAAATAGTGTCAAGTGTTCGATATTTCATTCAATTTAGTAAAAAAATCACCGGGTAAGAGATATCTAGAAGTTTTGGTCGAGTCATATCTGGTGGGAGATCTAGGATCTTCGTCAAACGTATTTGATTATAAACCAGGGTGAGGGAACCAGCGGCGAAGTTATGCCTAAATATTCACCCTATTCAAAATCTCATATTATTACTTCCCATTCTTAGTTACATCCGCCTAAGTATCACTATGACTAGTATCCTATGGAGTTTATTAGGGTTATTATACATTTTTAAAAGTTTCACTTATATTTCACTTATAAGTGAGAGCGGTGGCAGATTCAGGAGTGGCGGATATTTAGATTCAAATGAGTTTTCAATGTTAAAGTACAAGCTTTTTGGATAGAAATAGAATGCGAAGAGTGCAATTTTTTTTTAAATTTATTCACCAAGGTATTTTGTCAAACACTTGGTAGGGTTGTTGTCGTCAACCAAACCGTGTTACACACATATCAACAGATGTCGACATCGAAGCAATCTGATGAGTGATATCAAGAGAATTTGTCGAGTAGTGTCGAGACAACCTATCGAGATATGCCTAGCATACAGTAAATCCTTCCTTGAGTGAGAAGTCTTAGGTCACAGTCAAGGGCAGAAACCAAGTGCAAGACTACCTACAAATCAATTATTGCCTTTTCTTTTTTTTTTAGTATTTTTCAGTTTTATTTCAACTATATACAAATACACTAAAGTCCGACAGTGAAAATTGAAATGAGGCATATTTTGAATGGTACGATACATGGATGATGTAGTACATCCCATACATACAAGAATTTCTCATTAAAAATGGTTCCTTAACGTTGTAATAATTTCTCTATTTTATATATATTTGTTTTGTTAAAGCTCGGTGAGCATATGGAATGAATAAGTTCTACTGATAAGATTTAACATTTATCGTCAGAAACGAAAAATGATCCTTAACTTTTTAGCTAGCCAGCCAGCCTACTAGCCAAAAATTTCTTTGGCTCCACACTTGTCTACAGTCTGCTCTTATAGATGATAAGTTTGATACTAAATTATTATCGTTTATCTCATTGTGTGACTTTAACTCAATTATCCACATATTTAGTATAAATATATCGTTGTATTAAAAAAATTCAGTTATAAATTTACGTTTTGGAGCACATCTCTAACATTATCGTCGAGGGTCAACGACAAATCTCCATATCAAAACATTTTTTTAAGTTTTTGTGAAACCGGATATTTTAAACAGTGCATGCAAACAGCGTATGTAATATTTTGGATGCATCTCCGACAAAGGATGGTATGAAACCATCCGGCTCTGGAATATTTTGGTCTTGTAAATTGTGAGCGTGTATTTGCCAAAACACCAAACTCTTTGATGCTAAAATACCAAACTTCAATAATAACTTATTCAGAAAATAAAAAATAATTAAGGTTGACGGTGAATAACACTTGCCTACTCAAAAGATAAATAAGAATTCTTACTTGAAATTATTCGTTGTTGATTCGTAGAACTTCGTGTTTGTGGTTATAGTTGTTTATATTATAAATCACTTTATAAAGATCGTTTCCGCAAAAAAGAATAATTAAAACTAAAGTTGACCAATAAAAAACAGATGAATTGAATTGGTAAAAGAACTATGAAAATCTATGCATGTGCTACAATAAAATGACTAAACGACTTTAGTTTTATTTATTTTATGTAGAGATGATCTACAACTATAAGGTGATCCTTAATATGAATGGTTTTAGTCATAAGCAAAAAGTTTTGTGATTCAAACACGAAAAGTCTTGAATAAGAGTCCATACTTATTATTAAGTAGTCAAGCATTGTTTGTCGACGACAGTACTTACTGGTGTGGACACATGAAGATTTTTAGCCAAAAAAGGGAACAATTGATGGTAAACCATAATTATTCACCTTTTTTGGGCCCGGAAAATTAAGAAAATTTTAACTCTGTCTATGAACACAGTCAAACAGAATTTTGCTGAAAATCTTCACATGAAGATTAATTGATGGAAGGAATAAATTAATATGAAAATTGTCAGAAAACTTGTGATACCATGACTTCGTGCCTTTGAATGGAGGGGTGCTTCAATACCCCACCGCACTTAGTATTACACCAGTCAATAAAGTAATACCAACTCTTCTCCACAAACAAACCAACAAAATTAGAAAATGAGAGTTCAAGTGTTCGACAAAGAAAACACAGCAACGAAAGGAAATTGATAAAAATAAAATTTAAACAAGTCAACTTTTTTTATTTTCAAAATTTTAAATTGGTAGTAGCACCGTCAAGATGTCGGCAAGTTGAACAATGAAAATACAGTCACAAAATAATAAATTAAAATCTACAAATGCTAAAAAAAAATTTATGATGAAATTTCAAAAAGAATTAATTTTCTACTAAAAAATAAGTTTTCTATAATTTGTGAATAATATCTTAATATATAAATGAGAAGTAATAGTTAGCAAATGGCGACGGCTGTGGTGGCAGCAATTGTAAGAGTGTTTCTTTTGGCTATGAAAATGTGGTGATAAGGTGTTGGTGGTGGAGGAATGGTGACTACAATTGTGGTGTGGTATATGGTTATGAAAATATGGTAGTGACAATGGTGGTGAGGTTGATGGCGGTGGCAATATACATGTATAATGTATTAGTACTAAGATTGGGCATTTTTAACCACCAAACAAAGAAATCAAGCTAATCAGACTGAGTTTAAGTGAATAGGTTAAACCTTTTTGTTATGGATTTCACAATATGAGATTAGCTGTTTAATCAAACCAAATCAATCATCTAATTTTTTTTTATATTTTGGGTTTTAGTTGAGGTTTTTAAATACATGGTAAAGTTTTGAGGGCAAAACCACCGAAAAAGTAGCGTATCATAATACAACCACCAGCTAGTCACATTTCAAAAAAATAAAAATGAATATGTTATTGCTTGGTGAGAGAAAAAGAAAATAAAAAGCAACAAAGTAAAAGACAAAATTACTTGCTTATCTCCTCAAATTGGAGATTCTGACTCAATGTATTGACATGCATATTTCTAAGGTAAGTCGTACTTCTTAAAGCATAAAATAGAAAAGTACACTGAATAAAAAAATAACCAAGGCTTGATTTGGATGTTCCAAATCTAGCTAGGGATGTAAACTTAAAAATAAACACTTGAACGAAAGTATTCCTAATTTTGTTTTTTATTTTAAAGAAGACAATGACTTGCAAAGAGAATCCTCGACCGATTTTAATTTCAAAATTTATTAAATAGTAACTTATGAACTATTTCACGAGAAAAATTATCAAAATAGTTACATGTCAAATAAACAAAATCATCAGCCACCATGTTTGCTTTCTCTGAAAACATAATTAAACGTGTATTGAGGTACTTGCTCCAATAAATACTAAACATGATTAAAGGGTCGAAATTGATGGACATTTGGAAAAATAAACGATAAGCCCCCTTAGTTGGTCATTTTTATAGTTTAGAGGATAAATTGGTTGAAAAAATAATTTAAGAGGTAAATTAATAATTAGGTGATAGTTCATAGCGGTAAACAAGAGTTTACACAAAAATAACTACCATATGCACACACATCAAAGTGTGCGTGAACATTTTTTATTTTTGTTTTTTAAATAGAAGGAGAGGAAGAGAGCAAGTGAGAGAGAATGTGAAAGTGAAGAGAGATGGGAGAAAGATTTTTTTTTTAATATTAGAAATATATGAGAATCACGTGTACGTTAGGTTAAAAAAAAAACAGTAAAATTTGAAATTACATTACTGTCTTTTTGTTTTTGTTTCTTTTTTATTAGAAGAATAAAATGATAATTTTACGAGATTTTAATTGACGATTAGGGTTTAAGATATTAGAATGATGCATGTGAAAATGAAATAGTTTGAAAGAGAGAGAATGTAGTTATGACTTTTACCACAGAAAAACCAAAGAGAAAGAAAGAAGGAGGTGGGAAGTAGATGAGTCTGAAGAAACACAACGCAATCTTGTGTGTATGCTTTTATATAACGAGCGTCCCTTCCCGTGCTTAAAGCTCTGTGAGAGAGTGAGAGAGAGAGAGAGAGGAGAGAGAGCTCCCACTGTTCTTCCCATATCCCTTTACCCTTGCTAGCCCACCTCAGGAATCTCTCATCCTCTTCTCTGTTTCTTCTTCTCTTAAAACAGAGAGATTTTCACCCACAAAATTAAAATCCCATTTAATTTTCGGTTTCCATTTGGGTTTTGTGGGGTTCAATTCATGAAACAAAGATTAATTGCAGAGATATTGTAGAGAGAGAGAGAGAGATACACACTCACTGTACGCAGAAAGAGAAGGAGATAAAGGTACTAGTTTATCCCTCTGCGCTGTGTCAGCTTCTTCTTCTTCTTCTCTTACTCAGTAAGTACTTTTCTCCGTCAGATCTCATGCTTTTCTTCTTTGTGTAATTTTGTCGAACACATTGCGATCATATTGTTAATGGGTTAATTGGTTTCTTTCTTCTGCACATTAGATCTGGTTTTTGACAGCACCCCATCTGTTTTTCTGTTGTAATTTCCTATTTTTGGACGGCGGTGATCACACGCGGTTGTTCACCTTTTTCCAATTGCCAGATGCTTAATTAGTTAATTTATCTCCTGGTTTTTCACAAATTGGGTTTCTTTCGTTTTTCTTGTTGTCTTGATTTTCCTTTTTTATAGGTAAATCTTTTTGGCAAGATGGGTAGTTTTGATCTGTCTTTCTTTTTCTTTTGTATAAATGTGAAGCACTCAGAGGCCTGCAATCAGCATTCAACACTTACTTTTGCAGGTTTCTTTGGCCTCGTTTCGAATAAATTTAGGTGCATTTCTTGGTACGATTTTGTGGGTTTGTTTGCTTGTTTCTTTTGATATGAGATCGATAATATATCAATTTGATGATTGAGAAGGGAAGCAGCAGCTGATTGGCAAGCAGTGACTACGTGAATCATGCATAAAAAACTTTTCTTAAGCTTCAAACAAAATGATGATGTTATTGAATTATTTTCTTTTCTTAGTTTCCATGGTTTGATTGATGTCCCATGTTTGTTTGCCCTTTCTGGCTTAGTGGGGAGTGAAAACAATAGAGGGAAGGTGGAGTTTGATGGAGTTAGGACCCATTGCCATGTGCGAGACATAAAAGGAGGTTGACATGGAAAGTCGAAAGTGTCGGCAGTTGCCATGAGATCTTGTAGTTTACGGCTTATTCAAGTCGTTTATGTATTTTGCCTTACTTTCTTTGGGTGGACTGAATGCATATGCTAGATCTGGATCTGGATCTATCGCAGGAATTCGGTTTCAGTTTTCCTGTGTGTGATCCCATGTTTAGTAATTGATTGATATATGTTTTTTTATGTCAAAGTTTATGGTTGGCTGATGGGTTTTCTTTAATTAAACATGTGTTTCTTTAGTATAAGAAGTCACTTTTGAGGAACGAAAGAAATCCGTTGTAGCTTGTGACTGGTATGGTTTGAGTAAGCTGCCTGATTTAAGTTTTAGTACTGTTCTGTGCTTCTACTACATGTTAGTATTGGAAAGAGGACAGGTTTATGCGTTATATGGTTATTACATGAATAAATTGCGTGTGCTTTTTGCGGTAAATTGTGCCTGGTAGCAGATCGGTATTATTTAATATCAGATATGACCAATGATGAAGATATCTAATATGCCTTGTATGTGTGCAGGTAGTTAATACTTTCTGAGATCATGAAACATAAGGATGGAAAACCAGGGCCCCAAGGTACCAGGATTTTCCCCATGACAATCTTGTTTGTTTTGCTATGCGGGTTTTCATTCTATCTTGGTGGAATCTTCTGTTCTGAAAAGAACAAAATTGAGCCTGTCAAGGTCGAAGATGTCACAGAGGCAGTTCAATCATCTCTCCAGTTAAAACCTGTTACCTTTGCTGAATGCAGCAGTGACTATCAAGACTACACCCCGTGCACGGACCCAAGGGTAACTCCTTAATCATTTTTATGTACTTTATCCTTTCCGGAATTTACGCACTGCTAGATGCTTATCAGATTGTGGCTGCTTATTGTACAGAGGTGGAGAAAGTATGGTGTTCATCGGCTTACTTTCATGGAACGGCACTGCCCTCCAGTATTGGAGAGGAAAGAATGCTTAGTTCCACCTCCAGATGGCTACAAGCCACCAATCAGATGGCCAAATAGCAGGGACGAATGTTGGTACAGGTAAATATGTGACAGCCTGATGCCTAAAGCGTATTTACAGTCAAAAGTTTCTAGTTTTTAGTCTCTATTTGTTTTTTACCTAAAAAATGTTAAAAGTTTCACTGAATTTACCATGGGGATCTGGTTTCAGGAATGTGCCATATGATTGGATTAACAAACAAAAGTCCAATCAGAATTGGCTGAGAAAAGAAGGGGAGAAGTTTCTCTTTCCCGGTGGGGGAACTATGTTTCCAAGAGGCGTTTCTGCATATGTCGATTTGATGCAAGATCTTATTCCAGAAATGAAAGATGGGACCGTTCGAACTGCCATTGATACTGGGTGTGGGGTGAGCCCATCTTTCATCCTCTTTTACATTTTCCCGATTTATCATGTTGAACTTTAGCTGAAAATTTCTGGTGGGTGAATGCATGTTGCCTTTTTGATCTAGTTAAAAATGCAAGTTTAAATTTCATCTGCACCTTTCTTTCCCTATTTAATTGTTGAAATTTATTTACTATGTAATAATCTATTTCCTTATTATCCTTGAAGCAGCACAAACTGCTAAGTAATTAAATTCGTGAGAATCTACATAAGTTAACCTCTTTAATTGGTTAATTTCTAGGTTGCAAGCTGGGGAGGTGATTTGTTAGATCGTGGGATTTTAACTGTTTCTCTCGCTCCAAGAGATAATCATGAAGCTCAGGTTCAGTTTGCTTTGGAACGTGGAATTCCAGCAATTCTTGGCATCATTTCTACACAGAGACTTCCTTTCCCTTCTAACTCGTTTGATATGGCTCACTGCTCAAGATGCCTCATCCCATGGACGGAATTTGGTACTTATTCTATCAAATTGTTTAAAAAAAAATTCTGTTCTAGAGAATTTAATTCAGTTTATTGAGCTTAATGTCCAGCTGCTGGAACCAGTTTTCAAATTAGCAATAGCATAGTGGGGATGCATGGGTCATATAAGCAGTGCTGCATTTTGCATTTTACCTGATTGCTCCAGGAACTTGGAGATTTCTCTCTCTTAAGTGCGGTAGTAATGGTAGATAGGACCAACTTAGACAATTTGCATCCACTAAATTCCTGTGTTCCAGTTATCATTTGTAGGGAAAAATTCCACGGCTCAGTTATGAACTGTAATTTCTTGCATAAGATTGGAACTTCCTTTCTTCCTTTGTAGGACATCATATTTGATATCAGTTATCATTTTTAGGGAAAAATTCCACGGCCCAGTTGTGAACTTGTGTAATTTTTTTGCATAAGTTGGAAATGGTTTCTTCTCCTTTCTCTCCTCTCGTTTTATCATTTTTATCTTTTAAAGTTTACCACTTCTTCTGATGGGTACTTTCTTGATGTCAGGTGGAATTTACCTCCTTGAAGTTCATCGTATACTCCGTCCTGGAGGTTTTTGGGTCCTGTCTGGTCCACCTGTCAACTACGAAAACCGCTGGCGTGGGTGGAACACCACCATAGAAGAGCAGAAATCAGATTATGAAAAGTTGCAAGACCTGCTAACTTCATTGTGCTTCAAATTGTACAACAAAAAGGATGATATTGCTGTTTGGCAGAAACTGTCAGACAGCAGTTGCTACAATAAACTTTCTGAGCCAGACACCTATCCTGCAAAGTGTGATGATAGCCTTGAACCAGATTCAGGATGGTACACTCCATTACGCTCTTGTGTCGTAGTTCCAGACCCAAAGCTAAAAAAGTCAGCTTTGAAATCCATCCCTCAATGGCCAGAGCGGTTGCATGTTGCACCGGAGCGTATTTCTGATGTGCATGGCGGAAGTGCTAGTGCTTTCAAGCATGATGACAGCAAGTGGAGGGTACGATTGAAGCATTACAAAAAGTTGCTCCCAGCAATTGGAACAGATAAGATCAGAAATGTTATGGACATGAATACGGTATATGGAGGTTTTGCCGCAGCCACGATTGATTGTCCCTTGTGGGTCATGAATGTGGTCTCTTCCTATGCTGTAAATACACTACCTGTGGTCTATGATCGAGGCCTTATCGGAACTTACCATGATTGGTAATTTGAAACTCCTTTCTGCATGAATAGCATACTTTTGATGCACTTCTCATTTGGTCATTGTAATGAAATCAAGTGGTTTTTGTGTTGATTTATCTGTTCTCTTTTGGCAGGTGTGAGGCGTTTTCTACTTATCCTCGTACTTACGATCTTCTACATCTTGATGGCCTCTTTACTGCAGAAAGCCACAGGTAAAAAACGGGTTTCTCTTGATCTGGGGAGATGAATATATTTTGAAAGCTTATATTAATATGGCATGTTGAATTAACTACTTAATCTTAGATGTAAGTTTTCTCTGCACTCTTGCCTAATTTATCATTCTTTGTATAAATGGTTCTAATGATCGTAAACTTGGGCAGATGCGAAATGAAAAATGTGCTCTTAGAGATGGACCGAATCCTGCGCCCTAATGGCTACGCAATAGTTCGAGAATCCAGCTACTTTGTGGACGCTGTTGCGACTATTGCCAAAGGGATGAGATGGGGATGCCGCAAAGAAGACACTGAGTATGGCGTTGAGAAGGAGAAAATACTGATATGCCAGAAAAAACTCTGGTATTCATCGAACCGGACTTCCAGATGATGGCCATCCATAGAAAAACCCAAAACCAAGTCGATTTCTTGGAGGGACGGAAATAGGAATAGAAGCAAAAGAAGCAAGTTCAATACCATTCACAGAGAATTAGTTCATTGTTTAAGAAGCCAAGAATACTCAAATTTGTCGTTGAAGGAGACTCGGTTACCCAATAAGGTGGTTTAATCAACTGATAGGGCGTTGCGTATAGATATATTCTTTATAAGGTTTCAACGTGTACTCGGTGTAATTTCTTTTTCGTTTTCCCTGTTTCCCGATTTTCATAATTTGCTCTCTTTTCGTGTCAAGCTGTAATCGGATGATTTGAATATATGCAAGGAAGTTTATGTACCAAAAGAAGAAGAAAGAAACAGAAAGGGAACAAAGATTTCTTTGTTTCTTCAATGAAAATCTTCTGCTTCTGTTTAAGCTGCAATTGTAGTTTGTCTTTGATGCTTACTGGTTCAAGTGAAGGAAACAAAGGATGCTTATGTTGCCCTTGGTCCATGTTTTATGTGTTGAGGATGTGGTCGTTTTTCATTTTGGCTCAAAATTTTCATGCATCTTTCTGGTGATGGTGAAACCAACAGGATCCTCTCCCAATCGTTTTGGTGAGGATCCTAAGGAATTCGTGAATCGTGTCTATTCATCGTATATCGTGCGGTCAGTTCTTATCAAGTACTGTTTGTGTTTAATCTTAAATAAGAATATTTAAAATGATTTCTGACCGCATGATGTATGAGAAACAGATACGATTCACGGATCCTCATAATCCTCACAAAGAAGATCCGGATTCTAGCAGTAAAGGTCAAATCTCCCACTCAAAAAAGTATTGAATTCAGCCCAAGCACGTGTTACTTGAGCCTGGTAAAGTTTGAAATTTTGTCGCACGGTGGGCCGCTTTTCATCGAGTGCGTTGAGCTATGCTAGTTTGACTCTTTCATTCTCGTCTGGAATTGTTAGTTTTGTGGCTGCTTGACCGTTATATATCAGTTTGTAACGTCCATGACAAGATTCTAGAGAGATTGATGTATGAAATCTCCATGTAAACGACATGATTTACATGAATATTGAGTACTACATTGCATCATGGAGACTAGTAGGCGAGTAACATTCTAGTCTGTTCAATTGAGTTGCGAATTCCGAAGCTAGGAAAACTGAAAATCTCCCTCCTCATCACCCGCCACAACTCCATAATCCGGCCCCCACCCCACTGCTGTCCACCCATGTTCCATCAAAATTGCATTTCAACCATGGTTGACAAAGAGAGGGGGTCTTTGTCCACTCTCTCCCCCGTGCTTCTCTCTCTTCCTCCCACTCCCGTTGCTTTTTTTACTTTCCTCTCCCGTTCTTCTCTCTTCCCAAAGGAGACGCCGCCAAGCAAGTGTTCAAGGTTTTGGTTGCTGACGGGAGTGGTGACGTTTTGAGGGGTGAGGAAATAAGACAATAAGATAGGTCTAGTACCATTTTTTTTAAAGAATCGGTGAGAATTAATTTATCGTTTGAGGTTTATAGGAGGATGGCAAAATTACGTTGCAAACAGTAAAGCACACGGTTTTGATTTGATGGAGTCTTCATCGCCCTCTGCATGTGCAGAAAGAGCGAACAATGGGTTGCCTCTAAAGCAGACAGCAGCAAAAATATTGAAATTATGACTGAATGAGCATACCATGTTGAAGATCTATGATCAAAATCCATAAAAAAATAAAATAAAATGGGACTTTCCATCAATTCTCCGTCATCTTATGTTTTTGGCATAATATTTATAATGTTGACACGAAAATTATGCCAAGGTGGTTAAGAGTGCATGGAGAGCACCACTTTTAAAAGAGTCGTTAGCATTTCTCAAAAAATTAAGTAGAAGAACCCCAAAAAAGGGGTAGAACGGTAATCAAGTTCACAATCCAACAACATTAACATACAATCCCAACTACATTAACATACAATCCCAACTACAGTTTAGCCAAAATAGAGCATATAATAAAGATTGCTTGATAGCAAGAGATTGATTATTGAGTGTGAGTTTATTGATAAACTTTAGTTTTATTGTTAATTTCATCTTGTACTTTGATAATAATTATACAATAAGTTAAAAAAGAAAATTCACATTTAAAATTTAAATTGTGTGTAGAATAAAATTATACAGATTCAAATATAATTTTCCTATTTGTAATCATTATATAAATTTATGATCTGATTGCACTCCCTGAAAACTTAATTCTAACATGATATATAATTGTATAAAAATAAAAAATTAGTAGACATAATGTGCTTTTAACATCCGAATGCAAGAAAATTGGAGTATGAAATGAAAAACTTACTGTAATTCCATTATCTACTTAAAATAGACACGAGAAAAGAAAATTGGTATCAAATTCATCGTTCATCTAGACATCTCACTTATAAATGAAGATGAATACTACTCAACGACAAAAAAGTCAAAACATAAAAATAACAAAAAAGAATTCGAAGTAAATTAATTATATTTGTCGGAAATAAATTCATTTGAAAAAAAAGAACACAAAAAAGGAAAAATCCAACCGACCAGAATAGTAGCCAAAAAGATCACGCAGTTGGGTCAAATGACAAGGATATCCTTATCTTCGTGAGAACGTGGAGTGGAGCCATAAATACCGGAAACGTAAGAAATTAGGTAAATTCCTTGGTTGGCACGAAGGCTTTTATTCTCTCTCATCCTCCTCCCCCCCCCCTCTCTCTCTCTCTCTCTCTCTGGCAGCAGATCAGAATTCGGTGGGTTCAATCGAAGTCGGTTTTACATAACAGAAACTCTGGATTCCACCTTCGCCCGTCCTTGGCGACGGTTGTTATGCCGCTTGGCTTTCAGGTTCGATTCCCTTTCTTCCGATCTGATCCTCAATCAAATTTTTGTCCTTTTTGTTTAGATTTACTTCTGAATTCGATTTTATTCGATTTTGTTTTGTAATTGATTTTATTCGATTTGTTTTGGGATAATTTGATTTCTTTCGTTGTGAATTGTATCTCGATTTTATTCGATCTGTGTTTTGGGATTTAGGATTAGGGTTAGCTTTTTTCATGTGTTCGTCTGGACGTGGTTCTTCGGGTCCGTTCAAAGTTCGTTATGTTGCTGAGAAATTCTGGGAAATGGAAGGGTTTCGGAGTTTGCAAATTTGGGGCTCGATTTTTGTAGGGTTTCTTCTTCTGGGGTAAGGTTTGGTGAAATTTTTCTGATTTGGAATTACATCTCTGGGTTATGTAATTGGGATACTCGCGGCTTATGGTGGCGATTTTTATGAATCATAACTCCAATTGGTAATTTGAGGCTTTTTGTTTATTTATTTGTTTGCAAATATTTCATTGGTTGTATTCTGTTTGTGTCTTACATAAATTGCTAATGTTATTGATCACTCAGGTTATAGATTTAGCTTGGTGTGTCGCACGTGAGGCTAAAACCGTAATTTGCTACACCATAAAGTCTAACTGCAACCATTTTTTGTATAAACTTGTTTCTGGTTATGGTTCCTCTTCTTTCCTTTCCTACATTCCAGTTTTGTGCTGAAGGTCATTTGGTGGCTTAGAAGTCATACAAATTATTGTTGAAATTCATGACGTCATGAGGGTCTATATAATTTGTCCCTGATGTTCTTTTGTGAGTTTAGGTTATCCTTTTACACAATTTTTTGTGATTTGTGGCATGTGGTTTAGCATCGGAAATCATTTGTTGGCCTGCAAATGAGTAAGAACAAAGAAATAACAAAGCATGCGTGCATCACATTAAGTTTTTTAGTTGTGTGTCTCTATGATGCATAATACAGCTTAGGTGCCCAAAGTTTGTTGTATATTGACGTTGTCACCATTATATGGTTTGTGGTATTTGTTTTGTCTGAACTTCGTTCTGAATTGTGCAGCAAGTATTGTGATTTTATGTGAGAGCTATTATGAAGCTGTGGTAAGGATTAAATGTTATTTTGTTTTAGTGTTTGGATTTGCATCATTATGTGTCATATTATGTGAGATTTTGTTTAAATGGCCATTAAAATCAGTAAATTGTACCTTCGTATCTTGTCTGCATGATTGGTCTTATGTTCTTACAATGCATTCATTTATTGTAATCTTAATTTCAGGTTGTGCCGGGTTTAGATTTAAAGGGGTTTCATATATATTTCAAGACATGGAGCAAATGCGCCTCTGGTCAAATTGCCACCAGTACCGGGTCTTTTCTTTCCAGGAAGTGCTTGACTGGAGATTTCTTGTCCTTGGAGATTTTCTTCTGGTTTCTTTTGTTAATTGCACTTAGTGGTCGGTTTCTCTTAAATGATCAATACGGGAGACGTGATGCTAGTTTCTGAGTCAGGTGTTGGATCTTTAGTGCGTAGTGCATTGCTGATACAACATCCTCTTGAAATTTCTGGGAAAACTTCTTCAGGGGTACAGCATATACAACTCAGATCTATTTTATACTTCCTACTTTTTTAGTCTATGCCTGCTTAGTATTCCTAAACTTTATTCTTTCATTATCATGACAGGGTTAAATTCTGGCAATCTGTGACTGAAGATCTCTGCATACTTAATATTAGATAATCAGTTACGTCAAACCAAACCAGTGCAAACTGTTTATTTCAGAGTTATTATTTCATCGTTGCTCCTGATGGTTGCTATGAGAAGTGGCAAGATCTTTGTTAACTGAAGATTCCTCACTGATCTCTGCATAATTCAGATGAGATAGCTATTAGTTAAGTTTATTAAGCCTTGGGTGACACTATCTTGAGCTCTAAGTATTTCGTTTGGCGGGATAAATCATTTTGGTTGGTTTTTTTAATTGGCATCGATATGTTCGGTGATACTTGTCCTTTTTTGCCAACGATGTCATGCTTTAGCCCTGATGCCCTGGAGTTAGTAATAAATAAGGCCGTGCAGCCCATCCATCATATGAATTCTGGTTTTGTGCTCGTGCGTATTGCCTCAGAAGATTAATGGTTTGATTCTGCTGGACCAGCAAGGCAGTTGTTTATATCCTACAGTGTATTTGAAGGATCATCTCAGATAAATTCGTTTTATCTTTTACGAGTCTTTATGCTTTCACTGAATAAAGAACGGGCTGCTTTGTGTTCCACTGGAAGAATGGAGAGGTGAGTGTTTACTGTGTGATTTTAGGGTTATCTGTTTGTGTTCATACTAATGCATAAGTATGTGGTTACTCTAGGTACAAGTTAATAAAGGAAGTTGGTGATGGCACATTTGGGAGTGTCTGGCGAGCTATTAATAAGCAGACTGGTGAAGTCGTAAGTGGTTTTTGTCCCCATTCCTTTTAGAATGTATGTAGTGCTGTACATTTGTTCTGTTCATAGTCATTTGGACAATATTACAGGTTGCTATTAAAAAAATGAAGAAAAGATATTATTCATGGGAGGAGTGCGTAAGTCTACGGGAAGTTAAGGTGGTTCAACTTACTGTCTCCTCTTTATTAATATCCTGAT